CGTTATATTTACTAATGAAGCAGACAAATGTATTTTTACCTCACCTAACCAAGCCATGGGTTTAGCCAAAACATATAACCCAGAAAATAATTAAACACATCCAGGATATTGTAAATAATGTAAAATTATGTTAAGAATCTCCTGGATGGTATAATGTGTAAACAATACATTTCAATTGTATTTATTGAAAATATTATGTTAAAAATCCTATTGTACCACGTAATCATTGATACATGTATTCTGAAAACAAACACCTTACACTGAAAGTAACACACATTTAATCAGGAAAGCACTTTCAGATTTTAACTATTATCATTTTCATCATTAATTTCTTTAAACTCTAAAGAGTTTCAAAAGTGTGTTTTTTTAAAAGGTTTGATAAAACAATGAGTGCAAAGTACTTCACATGATATGCTTCATGTTGACCGAGTGCAGAGAGACCAAAAAATGGATTAAACACTCTGAAAATAAGATGCTCTTAACTGATGAAGTGGGATAATATCAGCACAAGTGCGCTATGTATCTTATCACCTACTTGTGGTATTATGAAACTATCTTATCGATGCTACAATTTGCTTATATTTGGCGTCTTGTTGAAGAAGCCGTTCACTGCATGGAACTGCATATCAAATTATCTGATAGGGCTCTATCACGAAAATTTGTAACTGGTTAATGTTGGCTTTTGATACTCTTACTTCCAGCAGAACTCAAATGCCTATGATGTTATGCTTGGCAGGTATGCCACGATCATAAAAGCCGTTGCTGAAAGCTTATTTCATTACCAGGCTCGGCTATCTGGAGGGGAGGACTAAATGAAATTTGACTGACTTGTCATTAACACTGAGATCCTTTGACAAAGTAATGCTGAAAACTTATCTTTATTGTGTCAAATATTTCTCATGTATTCTTTACAAAGTCATATTAAAACTTACTGGTCAGTAATCAACCAATAAGATATGTGGGAAGTCATTTGATGGAGTTGTTCACATAGGTCAGGGTCAAAAGATGTAAAGTCTTAGGTCAAGGTCAAATATGTCAAAAGTATTTGGGCACAGAGCTGGGTTTCATTCATGGGATGTTGTTTGGAACAAACTGCAATTTTATTTCACTTTTCTGGATTCTATAGTTGTTTTCTTCAAATCAGCATACAATTTGACACTCTGAGACCAAGCTGTCTTTCCAGAAAAAATCTTGTTGAACATTTTCCATATATGTCTTTCTTTAATACTTATATTCTTGTGGGATGTTTTCTGTCCTAAAACAGAAGGTGATATTCTGCAATATGTGGGATGTTTTCAATTTTGAAAAATCACTGTAAAACTTTTTCCCATATTTAGTGAAAAGACTTTAGATTCCAAAGCAAACAATACTAAAACCCGCCAGTACCTTGTGCATTCCCCTGTATGATCCCCTGCTGCAACCTATCCTGGCCATTAGAGGCTATTTATTCCATGCTCCGTGGTGACTTGGTTGATCGTACCTGGCGGTGTGGATCGATGCTCATGATGTCAATCACGGGATTGTCTGGTCCAGACTTGAGTATAATTTACAGGCAGCTGTCATATAGCTGGAATATTGGTTGGTTGGTTGGTTGGTTGTTTAGCGCCGCACTTAGCAAAATTCCAGCTATACGACGATTGTCTGTAAATAATCGAGTCTGGACCAGACAATCCAGTGATTGATATCATGAGCATCGATCAATGTAATTGGGATCAATGACATGCATCAACCAAGTCAATCAACTAAGTCGGCGAGCCTGACCCCCGATCCCGTTAGTCACCTCTTACAACAAGCTTAGTCGCCTTTTCGGCAAGCATTGGTTGCTGAAGACCTATTCTACCCCGGATCTTCACGGGTCATCATACAGCTGGAATATTGTTGAGAGTGACCTTAAACAAGAAACAACCAACAACTTTGTGCACTTTGTGTCTCTTATACCTGACATCCATCTTCAGTGTAATCAGTTAATGACTTTATCACATCTCATTGGAAGGGGGGGGACAGGGTAACCTTCACCTTCTTATCAGTGTAAACACGGTGCCATGCAGTCCTAGGCTCCAAAAAAGACGTCCTACAATCTGATACAAATCTCTTATCCTAATAAACTTGAAAAGATAGGTGAGGACTTGTGTGAGTTGTAGTACAGTGTAGAAATCATTGACAGTAAGTGTGAATGGGAATCAAGAATATTTTTTGTACAAGACACCTCGTAGGGCAGGGTACAAACTATCTACATTTCAGAATAAATATACCGTATTCGACATAATAAGCGCTCTGCTCTGATAAGCAGCGATATTTGCTGATATATTGGCTTGTGAACAATCCCAATTAGCACCCCTTCTGATTGATCAATGTACACAAGACTTATTTATTCGCGTATAATACGCACTCGTGTGTTATGTGCACCCTTAATTATGGGCAATTAAATTCTGGAAAAATATATCTGTCGTATATAAACATTTCAGGCTGTCAGCATAAACCACGATATTTATGCTGTAACTCTAATATTCTAATTTTGAGAGTTCCCTGGGTGCTTATTACGTTGAATATGGTAATTATAGACATGAAAGGTAGATATACATAATGGACATTATATATAGAGAGATATTACATATTTTGATTCACGGTAGATAAAGATTTATATCAGGGTATGAAACTCCCAAAAATTTCAGCCAGACCACAGGTTACATTTTATCATTCATCTTTACATGTGAATTAATGATTATCATCGGGAAATATTTAGAATATTGTCACATATGAAATATAACCCGACCGTCGGGCAGGGGGATTTGAAAATCTGGCAGCCAGAGTTGAAATCAACCCGTCTCGGACGGTGGGGCAGGCAGGTATTTCGAACACTGTTTATATATATCATAAGGTGGCTGGAAGCGTACACTTAGTGTAGATACCGTATTGGTCAGTCACAAGAGTTGTAGTGAAGCCTTAACGTCTTATCTAGACGTTGTCTTCTATTTTTAAACATGTGATGAATCATTAAAAGATGAAGTCTTCAAATATTTGATTTCCTTTATTATCTAATATAATTATAGGTGAATGTTTTGAATAACTCCCAGTATAGAGAGAAACTTTTTCATCTATTCTTTTTGAGACATAGCTAAAACACAGGATCGATGCTCATGATGGCAGTCAGTGGATTGTCTGGTCCAGACTCGATTATTTACAGACTGGCATCATATAGCTGAAATATTTCAGAGTGCGGCATGGAACTAATGAACGAACGAACGAACAACCTGTGTTATAGCTTGGAAGTCATAGGTAGCTAAAGTCTGGATTATTTACAGACTGACGTCATATAGCTGGAATATTTCAGAGTGTGGCATGGAACTAATGAACGAAAGAACGAACAACCTGTGTTATAGCTTGGAAGTCATAGGTACCTACAGTCTGGCAGCTTTGTGAATCGTGCTACAGGATCTTGTTTGAATGAATTCCATGCCTGACAACAGATGCTTATGAAATAGAGGCCTATTTTTTAGGTACAACCAGCAATGCATGTTATGCCGTGTGTGTGAAAGTGAAGTCCTTCTTTAAAAAGTTACATGACATGTTGTTATCCACTTACACGTGAAGGTTTATTTGAAAACTACGGATGCGTGACATGTTCCGCGAACAAGCTTGTACGATGCTGGACTTGTAGTTGATAGTGGTGGAAATGAAATACACATTCATCGACAGATGTCAATTTCGTGAAGCAGTGATATAAACATGCAGTATAATCAGGAAAGCAGTGGGTACAGGAAGCATGTGTGTATACAAAGTGTTACTTTGAAGTGTTTATCTTGTCTACCTAATTAGTGCTATGTTTAAAGTAAGTGTGATGTTCACAAATATAATGGAGACTTGAAAATAAATGCTTTATTGTTAATAAGGTGATGCACTGTGGTGATGGCTGCTTATTTATTGTGAGGATTCAACGAGCGCCAACACAAACAGTTATTGCTAGGATGGAATATTTTTGCAGTGAATGAGGCAGTTATTTCAGCAGGTTTGGAAGTATGGAAGTATGGAATCGGTTGCTACCTTTAACCCATCTTTGTTCATGAGGCAAGGGCACAGAGGATGAAGAGACTATTATCAATGAATGCAGGAAATCTGGTTTACAAAGCTTAGTTTTTGATTGTGAACATGCCAAATGAATATTTTTTGTTTCAATATGTTCAACTTCTGCTCAGCTCCTTTTACATAGATTTAACTTGTCCTCCATCCCTGTCCCCTTTCCCTGTTCCCTGTTCCCTGTTCCCTGTTCCATTACACTGATCCTATCCCTTATTCCTACACCATTCACCTTCCTCCTGTCCTTGTCCCTGTCCCCTATCCATAACCTATCCCTCCCATCATCCCTGACCATCACCTGTGTCACCTTCCCCTGCCCTTCATCCCTGACCATCACCTGTACTACCTTCCCTTCATCCCTGGTTCCCTACTCCTGCCCCCAATTTATAGCCTCATCCATGTCCTCTGCTGCCCCTTGTCTTCCAACCCTATACCTGTTCACTTCCCCTGCCCTTTGTTTCCCCACCCCTATCCCTCACCCGCATTGTCATCCTTTACCTCATCCTCTTCCTGATCCTTCCCTCTGACGACTGGCCTCCTTTCTACTGGACAGTACGCTACTCATAGGTATTGAGATACATGTATCTGACACATTTAACTCACCTGAACAATGTAAAACTGTTCAGCCAGATGAATTCTACCTCCACAATGAGGTGTAAGCTGGCAAAGGCTTCAGCTTGTTAAGACCAAATTAAGACCGAATTCGAAAATTCCAGGTTAGCTTCCTAAATTCATGTTTGTTCTTCAAACTTGTGGCATGTAATTATTTTCAATAATTCATCGCTTTTGATGAGAAAAGATAAACTTTCTCCCCTGACCAGATCGTACCTGACCAGACCTACAAAAGATACAGTATCGAGTGCTTGATTACAAACATCCTTTGGGGATGGTTGCCTGTTCTTCATCACTCTTCATCAATATTGCAGGAAATGTCGTCTGGAGGGTGATCTTCGGAAGCGGTCAGATGGTGCCAGTGAAATTGCATATTCAATGGTCGATGATTCCGGCGGCATTGAAAACTATTTCATCACCCCGACCGACATGTTGTCCTTTGCGAGACAAGTGGCCATGGCTATGGTAAGTCTTTAATAATCTAATTCAAGTTTATGTTTTTCTAATTTATCCACAAAAGTAAAATGTTGAATGTTTTTTGGGGGTTTCATGTACATAACAGAAGTTGTGTGTTTCAGTGTTTAATTTTTGTTTCAAGAAATACAACTTGTAAACTTACGATAATCAACAGTCATTTCAAAACATGTCCTGACTTACGTTTCCTTGGATTATCTTTGTTTGTGATTGACCTGTTTGAATCTTGCAGTTTCGTCTTCACAATCCATAAATAAGATAGGAAACTAAACTGCTCTCGCCCGAAAAGATTCTGCAAACCCATTTTTGGTGTCCCTTCATGAGGTTAAACTGGGAATACACCTTCAATTAATATGATTTTGTTTGTTTGTTTTGTTTGTATGTTTGTTTGTTAACACCTCACTCAGCAATATTCCGGCTATATGACGGCAATCTATAAATAATTGAGTCTGGACCAGACAATCAAGTGACTTATATCATAAGCATCGATCCACACTATAGGGATACAATGACATGCAATTGAACCAAGTCGGCTTGTCTGACTACCCGATCCCGTTAGTCGTCTCTTACAACAAGCATAGTCACCTTTTACGGAAAGCATTTGTTGCTGAAGATCTATTCTACCCCTGATCTTCACTGGTATCATTTAATATGGAGTGTCATATAGGGTTTTAAGTTAATCTGAAGTAAATATATTGCAAGTGATTCCGTACCGTTTGATTGGATGAACCAAGCAATGTGGTTTGCATTTGTTTCCATAAATCATATTATACCATGCCTACCAACGGACTACTATTTCTTGATAGGCTGATAATTGAATAGGTGGGGCTTGTGTTGCATTATTTAATAGAATCACTTGCAATTTTTTAATGAGTTTGAGGCACTGCAATTCCCTGTGCAGAGTTGTGTCCCTTGGGCACACCAGAAACCTATGGCAGTGGTTCAAATCCTGGTTCGCCCTGATTATGTTTTAAGGTTTGTCAGCATCATACCCATGCTTGTGGGTTTCACAAAAGTGGTAAACATATGAGACCTGCATAACATCATGCATTCCTCCCGCTTTTAGCTGACACACCGTGTAATAACTGGAATACTGTTCAAAGCAGCATTAAACCAAAATCTCTCAATTAATTAATGAGGGTATAATGTAGAAATAATTGTGCAAGTTACTTTTAAAATTTATTAATATTTTAGATAAAATCTACAAGAATTCCTAACTGAAAAAACTAACCAATAAATATTTCATACAGAATATTCAAACTAAGAGTCTGTCATGATTTTTAACATTCAGTTCTGTTATTTGATCTTTCATAGTGATATTCTAATTTTAAAAATTGAACAGACAAGTTTGTAATTACTGCAGTTGGAATGTCTGGGGATGATCCCAGGATATCTCGTAAATGTCCACCTGTAGATAGCTGTGTATGTGGCTGCATGTGCCAAGTCTATAATTACAGATCAAGAGAAATAGTTGTGTTGTGCAGTTTGCTGTAGCTTATTAATAACTTCATAATTTAGGATGTTGCCAAGAGCATTCTTCAGTTGAAAGGGATTGGTGGTATTTGGAGGGGGTGGGATTGGGTACATACTCATGGGTTTCACTGAAGTGATGCTGTGATATAACTGAAATATTGTCCAGCATGACCTTAACGAGTTATTACGAGTTATGTCCCTTCTATGTCCCTCCTATTGACCAATCAGATTCCACCTTCCACTTTGCATTTGCTTTAAACAAAATGGCAGCACCCAGTCAAGACGATCTGATCGATAATCAGAATCTATATTGTAATAAAACGGGCCTTACTTAGCGAAGTGCATCGGTTCATGCAAGTACCTTGATTGGAAACATGGAAAGATTTGGAAAATATCTGATCCTCAGTTGGCGGTACACATGCTTTGCAAATCCTGCAATTGACCAAAATCTGCATGACAGTTTACGAACCAGATGGTGATTTCATTACACGATATTGATTGGACTATGCATGGATTCATAGTCCAGCCAAAATATAACTCCATAAAAATTCCAGCCAGGTTCGGCAAGGGTGGAAACTGGACTTGTATAGTCAGTAAATTCCCTTGCCTCGGGAAGATGCCTCCAGACAGCTGGTCAGTTAACAAAAATCATTTTCGTTTCCTTCTTTTAGTTTGTTTCAAATGGAACTTGTTTATGATCAATTTCCTTTGCAGAAAGTCGCCTACAATTCACATTTGCAACGTTGTATAAATTATTTGTATCCATATTCAGTTGGAATCCCAGCACTTGTCAGTCATTTCTGTTTCATCCAAAAATGGAGAAATACACTTTTTAATTTTTTTTCTTCATTCTGAGTATATTTTTTTAAGACACTTGATTTAAATATCTATGTTTTATTTATGCAGAGTGGGAATGTGTGACCCAGTTGTCTAAGGCACAGCAATTCCCGGTGCAGAGTTGTGGGTTCAAATCCCAGTTCACCTTGATTATGTTTCTAGGTTTGTCAGCACCATACTTGTGGGTTTCATCAAGGTGGTAAACCTCTGAGACCCGCATCACTTTGTGCTTTCCTCCCACATTCAGCTGACATGCCGTGATATAACAGAAATAGTTCAAAGTGGCGTCAAACCCAACTCACTCGCTATTTATGCAGAGTTTTTGCTTCTAACCAGACAGGGGGCACGGGTGGCCCAGTCGTCTAAGGCATCGCGATTCGCTGTGCAGAGTTGCGTCCCCTGGGCACGCCAGAAATCTATGATTGTGGGTTCGAATCCCGGTTCGCCCCGATTATGTTTCTAGGTTTGTCAGCACCATACCCGTGCTCGTGGGTTTCACTGAAGTGGTAATCATCTGAGACCTGCATCACTTCGGGCTTTCCTCCCACATTAAGCTGACACGCCGCGATATAACTGGAATACTGTTTAAAGCGGCGTTAAACCCAACTCACTCACTCACTCACTCACTCACAATCTCTAACCAGACAATCTCTTCCTTGGATGAAATCACATGCAAATGTCAGCCTCCGACCGTTCAGTAGTTGGGATACCTTCACTTTATATCATGTTCCATATCGTTTGAAGACACAACGAGGCATACAGGCCGTTGTCATATTACAGACGACCAGATGCAATTTATCATGAAATAAATGCTATCATATAAAAAAACTGCACATCAAACAAACAGTTGATAGTTTTTACAGTATGGTAATATTGGCATGCTTGGCAAATGTTTCCTCCCTCTAAGCCCATTGTGCCAAGTGACTCACTGCTCTGAAGCAAGATCCACCAAGGGAGCTTTACTGAGCAACAATCAAGTCGAAATTAAAATAAACATTTTGGTATTCATTTCACCTGTGAGATATTCTATCTATCTGCCTTGTCATCATTGACGTAGGAAATATAAAGAAACTGCAGGACCTTGAACAAGAAATGATAATTCACATTTGAGAAGAACATAACAAGTTTGTTGTGCGTTAACTTTTTGTGTACCCTCTTTGCCCAGCCACGGATGGCAGAAAGATAAGCATCTCAGAGAAGCATTTTAAAAAGTGTTAGATACACAGGTTTTGTTTAATGACTTAAGCATGTTAGTTGTATAGCGAGGCCCATGTTTCCCCACAAAAGCCAACAGGACTTGTCTGGAGATATGACAGACTCTCGGCTCAACTAGGGTTCCAATAAACAGCTTTCACAAAGTTTGTGATAATGGCTTTTTTCAGTCTTCGTAGTCAGAAGATAGACATAAGAGGTTTACTTTGTCAATATTTAGATTGAAAACTTGGGGTGAAATTAACCATAACATGTTATGGGGTTGGTATTATCAGTTCTGGCTGACTGGCGAAATGCATACTGCAAACAGCTGTTTGAATCTGCCGACCCGGAATGACACTGGCATAACATATGGGAATTGCCATCAGGGGATGCCCCTTGTATGCTGTTTACTACATTTCAGTGGGGATTGTCAACTGTTTTGGAGTAATTTTGAAGATTTTCCACTTCATGTTTGGTGTCATGTTTTGTGAAGGAGATAAACCAGAGTTTCAACAGCATGCTTCTTCTGGCGTAGTTGTTGATTCGGAGGTTGTGCAGACATATGATGTTTGACAGGCTGATGGATCATTAGCTTGTATATTGTGTCACAGTACCTGTTGACCCTCGTAGATCATCTGCGAGGCTGTATGTTGTATCACTGTACTTATTGACCCTCGTACCTGTTGACCCTCGTACCTGTTGACCCTCGTAGATCATCTGCGAGGCTGTATGTTGTATCACTGTACCTGTTGACCCTCGTAGATCATCTGCGAGGCTGTATGTTGTATCACTGTACCTATTGACCCTCGTAGATCATCGGGGAGCCTGTAAAATGTGTCACTGTACCTACTGACCCTCGTAGATCATCTCAGAGCCTGTATAATGTATCACTGAATCTATTGATCCTTGTAGATCATCGCAGAGCCTGTATATTGTGTCACTGTACCTACTGACTCTCGTAGATCATCGGGGATGTAAGACAGAAGCAATTTCCTTTGAGACACATTTCCTATTAAACTTTATTCTCGGACATAGGTTCCAGGTCATCATGTTTGATGGAAGTTGAATGGAGATTGGATGGACACAAGTAGATTGAGATCCAGGGCTGCTTAGTGCAAGTGATACTGGGTTTGAGGGACCTCAGTGGGAATGAGTTCTTGATGACATGATTGATGTCAGTTAAATTGGAATTGGGCGGCACCAATCTGAATAAACTCTTGATGTCATGCTTGATAGAAGTTCATTGGGAATCTGGTAGTGGCCAGGAGTCAGACCTTGACTATGTAGCTCCTGGTTGTGACCTTGCTGACAAGCTTAGGTCCATGTTTACAATTTGCAATGCAGAGTTGCTCCCTTTGAACTTTTGCAGGGTCCACTGGCCATGGGACTGAATCTCTGACTTCTTGTGATCCTTGGTCAGTCAACAACTAGGGATTCACATCCATCTTGACTGTCATTTTTAGATTACAGACTGCGATTTTAGTGAAATACTATTCAAGCCCAACATCTGGGACTCAACCTTGTGGAACTGATATGCTGGAGTCCACAAATGTATTTCATACAGTTAGATTAGGATTTGAAAACAATAGCCTATTAATTTTCTTGTTTTCTTTTCCTAGGAATACCTAACTGATCGAAGATATGTGCATCGTGATCTGGCTGCCAGGAATGTCCTACTTGGGCCAAACAAGGTGGTCAAGCTCTGTGATTTTGGCCTGTCACGTGACATCTACAATGACAACCAGTACAAGAAACTGACCAATGGGAAGCTTCCTCTCAAATGGATGGCTATTGAGTCCCTCAGAGACAGAGTGTTCACCACCCAGAGTGACGTGTGGTCATTCGGCATCCTGCTTTGGGAAATTGTTACAATGGGTAAGTAAATCAGTGCAAATCATGCCGTCGAATGTAACAAGTAAACATGCATTTCTTTCCTTGTAAAAGCTTCTGTCGTACCCCGGGCATGTTTTTACAGAAACATCATCTCCCTGATGGTGTGTGTGATTATTTTTATTTAAAGAGCATGGCTCCAGTGGGAGTAAGTGTATACCATAGGTAAAGTTCTTTCTATGTTGTTCCATGGAGATGACAGGTAGTCAGTACCCACTGTTTGTCATAAGAGCTAACTACAGTACCTAGTGTTTGCGGGGCGGTCGGGTAGCCTAGTGGTTAAAGCGTTCGCTCGTCACGCCGAAGACCCGGGTTCGATTCCCGACATGGGTACAATGTGTGAAGCCCATTTCTGGTGTCCCCCGCCGTGATATTGCTGGAATATTGCTAAAAGCGGCGTAAAATCAAACTCACTCACTCACTCACTCACTCACTCACCTAGTGTTTGCCATGCGAGCTGACTGGTGGTGAAAACAGGTACTCAGTACCCAATGATTCTCATGAGAACTGTCTACAGTACCCAGTGTTTGCCATGAGAGCTGACTATAGTGGAAATGACAGGTACTTAGTACCCAATGTTTCTCATGAGAACTGTCTACAGTACCCAGTGTTTGCCATGAGAGCTGACTATAGTGGAAATGACAGGTACTTAGTACCCAATGTTTCTCATGAGAACTGTCTACAGTACCCAGTGTTTGCCATGAGAGCTGACTATAGTGGAAATGACAGGTACTTAGTACCCAATGTTTCTCATGAGAGCTGGGGGCACGGGTGGCCCAGTCGTCTAAGGCGCCATGATTCACTGTGCAGAGTTGCATGCCTTGGACACGCCAGAAACCTATGATTGTGGGTTCGAATCCCGGTTCGCCCTGATTATGTTTCTAGGTTTGTCAGCACCATACCCATGCTCATGGGTTTCACTGAAGTGGTAAACATCTGAGACCTGCATCACTTCGGGCTTTCCTCCCGCATTAAGCTGACACGCCATGATATAACTGGAATACTGTTCAAAGCAGCATTAAACCAAAATCTCTCGATTAATTAATGAGGGTATAACTGACATGCCACCCACTCACAGATTCAGTAAAAAAAGTGAATGAGAGAATCTGTTTCTTTAACAGATAGTATCTTGGTCTATTGTGTTTATCATGTGTCACTTGCTTCCAGGTGCGTCGCCCTACCCTCATATAGCCCTGTCTGATCTGTACTACGTCCTTGTGAATGGCTATAGGATGGAGAAGACAAGCAACTGTTCTGAAGAGCTGTGAGTATTCACCTGCCCTAAGTTATAGCTGCCCTGACACCTGAAGGCTTCTTTGTCTTTACAGATAGTTTTGCAACTTAAAAGTGGATCAAATTGCCCCCGCCCCCCTTTTATGTTCAGTATGAGATTTGCTATGTCTATTAATTACTAATAAAAAAATCATGCATAATTAGCAAAAGATGTTTATTTTTACCTGCCCTGCCCTGCTTACTCCTACCCCACCCTACCCTACCCTACCCTACCCTACCCTACCCTACCCTACCCTACCCTACCCTACCCTACCCTACCCTACCCTACCCTAACCTAACCTAACCTAACCTAACCTAACCTACCCTAACCTACCCTAACCTACCCTAACCTACCCTAACCTAACCTACCAAACATGACTAAGTGTTAATTCACAGGTTGACTGTCCTATCGAATGTACATTTCCTTTAGATCATTTGACGACCATTCCTGAGTGACTTGGGCTTTCATGAATTGTTCTCCCATGTTCAGTCAGCCAGCCAGCCTGTGAGGAAATGCTAACGAGATCCGACTTATGAGGATCGAATGGTTCTAATGTATGACCTGCTTGATTGTGTTACTGTGCCCCTACAACATAGATTGTTGCTTGTGCTATCAACCACTGGTTATTTACCTCTGTGACATTACTGGGATATTGTTGACTGTGGTGTAACACAACATTCACTCACTCACTCTAGTGAATACTGTTCAACATGTTATTACACTTAACTTACTCACTCATGAACACATTCATGAACACATTCTATCAATTACTCGTGAACACATTCACTCACTAACTCACTCACTCATGAACACATTCTCTCACTCTCGTATGCACTTACTTATGCACTCAATCATGCACTCACTGTCATTGCATGTTTGACCCATGAAGATCCCGGGAAAAATGGGTCTTCAGCAACACATGCTTTCCGTAAAAGGCGACTATGCTTGTCGTAAGAGGTGTCTAACAGGATTGTGTGGTCAGTCTCAGTTGACTGGGTTGGTGCATGCCATCGTATTCCAATTGCATGGTTGGTGCTCATGATGTCAATCACAGAATTGTCTGGTCAAGACTTGATTATTTACAGACTGCTGTCATATAACTGGAATATTGCTGAGTGTGGCGTTAAACAACAAACAAAACACTGCATGTTTATATCAAAGCGTCATGTTGCTCATAGTGGTCATTGACTCACCTTTTTTTCTGCTTGCAGGTATGCCCTCATGCTACAGTGCTGGGCTGCTAATCCAGCAGACAGACCCTGCTTTACCCAGCTGAGGATGATGCTGGAAGAACTGATGGAGGAAGATAGGGACTACCTGGTCCTCGAGAACATCAATGTTCCACTGAACAATTCGGAGAACAGCAGCAGCTCTTCTTCCGTGGATGACATGTCAACCCAGCCCTCCGGGACATCCTCCGGGGTCCTAGTTGTGGCCATGCCCAAAGAGTCACTGCGAGTGGATGTGTGTATTCATGGAAAGTCCACAGATAGACTGCTGAGGAAGTCAGAGAGTGATTCAAGTCCCTAGGAGCAGGACAGTGTGTGTTGTGTGACTATGTGATATAAAGTTGTGTGAGAGGTACCCACCGACAAGGGACAACTCTGAAGTGGTTGTCGTCATGGTCTCAATGGCCGTCATCATGGTCTCAGTGGCTTTCGTCATGGTCTCATTGACTGTCATCATGGTCTGAGTGACTGTCATCATGGTCAGAGTGACTGTCATCATGGTCTGAGTGACTGTCATCATGGTCTGAGTGACTTTTGTCATGGTCTCAGTGGTCGTCATCATGGTCTGAGTGACCGCCATCATGGTCTCAGTGGCCGTCATCATGGTCTGAGTGACTGTCATCATGGTCTGAGTGACTACCATCATGTTCTCAGTGACTGTCATCATGGTCTTTGTGACTGCTGTCATGGTGTCAGTGACTAATCATGGTCTATGAGACTGCTATCATGTTCTCAATGACCGGTATCATGGTCTCAGTGACTAGTCATAGTCTCAATGAATGCTATCATGGTCTGTGTGGCTACTGTCATGGTCTCAGTGACTAATTATGGTCTCATTGGCTGTCGTCATTGTCTCAGAAACTTCGCCATGGTCTCAGTGATGGTCATCATAATATCTGTGATTGCCAGATCTGAATCCAGGAAGTGATGGTATGCATGTTGGACCATTGTGTACCAAACTGTCTAATCACCATGTACAGATGTTCGTCAGAGTTATTCCTGGAGTGATTGACAACCCAAAACAAGGTATTACTGACATATTTGTTTATCTACTGCAATGAACTACAGTTATCAGATCTGGTGAAAATACTTTGATGTCAAGAGGCCAGTCTATATAGTTCTGTGAAATAACTGCAAATAAATTGATCTGCTGGAGGCCCATAAACCAAGTGACAGGAGACCTCAAGATGCTGCTTTCTGAACAATCAGCACTGATTTGTGAATGGTCAACTGATATGGAATGGTTTTGAGACTATGTGCACTTTCATGTTCAGAAGGATACAGACACATAATGTGAAACTGATTTTTAAATGCCAGTGAGACATAAACACTGTTAAAACCGTGTGACTCTTCAGGGGGAATGGACCTTTGGGGTTTTGAATTGAACCAGTGTACATAATTACAGATTTACCCTTAGTGCAAGGGTTACGTTGGAGCTGCCATCTAGTACCGAATGTATATATTGGTAATATTTATTGTTGCAGTATTTATTGACAGTCAGACCTCCATTGCTGTCTGTGAGTTGTGGAGTATTCATGATTGGGCACTGGTACTAGAACCCAATCTTAGCCAGTAGACAATACAGGCAAGGATTGCATTCTGGAACTGATGTACTGTAGGACAAATTGTCTCAGGAGATCGTAGGAGGGTGGAATCTGCCTGTGGAAGGCTGCCCAAAATTGAGAAATGAAACCCCAGTGGATGGTCCCAAATGGCCATCAAACATTATGAAGAATATTTTGATCATCGCCTTCAGGAAGTGGCAACATCTCAAGGTCTGAGGGCATGGCAACATTTCACTGTCTTGGGTTGTGGGAACATCTCACTGTCTTGGGTTGTGGCAACACCTCACTACTTGGGTTGTGGCAACATCTCATTGATTTGGGTTGTGGCAACATCTCATTGATTTGGGTTGTGGCAACACCTCACTACTTGGGCTGTGCCAACATTTAATTGATTAGGGTTGTGGCAACATCTCACTGTCTTGGGTTGTGGCAACACCTCACTACTTGGGTTGTGGCAACATCTCATTGATTTGGGTTGTGGCAACACCTCACTACTTGGGCTGTGCCAACATTTAATTGATTAGGGTTGTGGCAACATCTCACTGTCTTGGGTTGTGGCAACATCTCACTACTTGGGTTGTGGCAACATCTCATTGATTTGGGTTGTGGCAACACCTCACTACTTGGGCTGTGCCAACATTTAATTGATTAGGGTTGTGGCAACATCTCACTGTCTTGGGTTGTGGCAACATCTCACTACTTGGGTTGTGGCAACATCTCATTGAATTGGGTTGTGGCAACACTTCACTACTTGGGCTGTGCCAACATTAAATTGATTAGGGTTGTGGCAACATCTTATTGATTTGGGTTATGTCAACATCTCACTGTCTTGGGTTGTGCCAACATCTCATTGATTTGGGTCGTGCCAACATCTCATTGATTTGGGTTGTACCAACATCTCATTGATTTGGGTTGTGGCAACATCTCTCTGTCTTGGGTTGTGGCAACATTTCATTGATTTGGGTTGTACCAACATCTCATTGATTTGGGTTGCGGTAACACCTCACTACTTGGGTTGTTGCAACATCTCACTGTCTTCGGTTGTGGCAACATCTCATTGATTTGGGTTGTGCCAACATCTCACTGTCTTGGGTTGTGCCAACATCTCAATGACATGGGTTGTGCCAACATCTCACTACTTAGGTTGTGGCAACATCTCATGGATTCAGGTTGTGGCAATATCTCACTGTCTTGGGTTGTGGCAACATCTCACTGACTTGGGTTGTGGCAACATCTCACTACTTAGGTTGTGGCAACATCTAACCGCCATTGGTTGTGGGAACATCTCCTTTGGCTTGTGACACATCTCACATCTTGGTTTACTCCCCATTTATGAATATATCAATGTTCTGGCAACATCTCTCAACCTAGTCATGATGTTCTGGCAAGACACAACTACTTTAGTGATGGGAGAAGCTCTTGTCACAGCCTGTCCTGGCAACATCCTGCTACCATGGTCTGCCACTGCTACTGATTCAAGGGACTTCTGTGAGAGCAAGAGGACAAGAACTGAAGATGTGGAACATTGTTATGTAATGTTTTATTCTCTGGAGAAATGACTCTACACTTTTATGTGAACTTGTTTTACAACACTAGTGCTATAATGTTGTTTTACTTACATTGAACTCTTTTATTCATGTTTTTAGATGTTTCATCGGGTATAAAGATGTGCAGATAATTTGGTATTGGTTTTTGCTCATTTCTTGATGAAGTAATCTCATGTATGAAAATTCCTCCATGTGCATTTCATGAAACCTGATATTAATGGTGATGAAATGATTAAATCAAAGGCAATAATGTCGGCCCTCCATCTGCTTTTAGGTATTTCTGTATAATGAATGATTCTATGATTCATTTTCAGTTAGCAGTGGAATATTCTTCATAAACTGCATCAATCACTTTGATCCTAATTAGTAGCAAATGCTCACACTCCCAACCCCACTGCTTCATTTACTCTGTATAGTGTTGTGAAGTCTGTATTTGGAAAGGTAGTCACTGTCTTGGGCCTTCGAAATTATTTTGAAATTTTAATCTTTCATTGTTGTCCGTTTTGAGGATCTGCAACCCTGTGGGAGGATGGTCACAGGAGGATGGAGAATCTAGCCCAATGAAGGGACAGTTGTTGTTTTTGCCATTTTCTTGACATAAATGTGTGCTCAAAGATTCTTTTTTACCTGCATCCTGTTCAGTTGAATCATATTTTTATGAGATTCAGGGATTACTTGGTCATAATACACTTCATTCTCAGGTGATGGGGAAGAGTTAGATGTTTCGAAAGTATCTACAATTTGTCAAATATGTTTAAAAACCAGTGTATGAAAATAAGGTGAAGTGAAATTATTCAAATGTAGATTTTATTGCAAATTTCACTAAACCTGTTCTTAATTAAAAAGTAAACTCTCTAATGTCAAATATATTTCATGTATAAACATTTTATTTCCATAATGCAAGTCATTCCTAAACCTGAAATGTTAGTTTTAAAGATATTGTTTTGTTTTGTGACATGTTATGAAACCTGTTCCTTTTAAAGAATGAGGACCATGTTTTTGTAGGATTTGTTAAACTGTTTCAAGCCTTATCGTTCCTTGATATACACATCATGCATATGTCTTTATTTCATGGATTAATTTCTGGAACATCATATATGCAACTCATTTAGACATGTTGAATTTGTAAGGTATTTCATGACATATTAATTTAATTTTATTGCTGAAATCTAAAAAAAATACTGTTTCATTAAATATGAAATATTCATTTATTTATAAACATTCTTATTACTTCTTTGATAGGCATTTAGAAGTTGGAGTACTAAGTAAGGATAAGAATTTATGGATGAACAACTTCTTTATTACAATTAAGAGCGACGTTTCGGTGTAGGTTCTAACACCGTTATCAAGCACTTGCTTGATAACGGTGTTAGAACCTACACTGAAACGTTGCTTGCTTGATAACGGTGTTAGAACCGTCGCTCTTAATTGTAATAAAGAAGTTGTTCATCCATAAATTCTTATCCTTACATTCTTATTACTCATAACATTTCATGTAACATGGAGGGAGTTTATCTTCACACATCTTTTGCATTTTTACAAACTTTAGACTGATCATTTAGAGTACCCACATGACTAATTCTTATAAATTTGTGATTTGTGATTAATTCTGTATATAAAGTAGGTGTCTTGGTTATGAATATGGGTGGTATGTAGACTGTTTGTGCATTAAGGGACTCCCAAAGGGCTACGTTCAAGTGTTGTGATCACTGTCTGCCAATCAGTGTTGCCTCTACAGTCACCAGCAGAGAGGTGGTCAACACAACTCTTCCCTCCAGTAGGATGCTCTCTTGGAATACGCTAGACCTCCTTCTTATATCGTTTTTCAACAAGGCCAATCAGTTTGGAGTGGATACCGTCAAGGTTCACATGCCTGCATGACTAAATATAATTATTTTTCAAACCCTGCATTGTTTTTTAAATATGTATTATTCCTATTTTGATAAATCACCACACGATTATAAATTTATTTTCTCATGTTTAATTAGTTGATAGCCAATTCTTTGTAGTGACCATTTCCCCTGATAATACTTATTCAGTGTGGTAATTTCTTGCCAGAGAACCGAGTTCTTAAGGTGATACATTTTGAATTTTATCAAATTAAAATAATCCTGTTTTTAACTTTATTTAAAAAATAGCAGAGCTGTTGATCAATGAAAATAAATGGACTGGTAATTATCACAGGCAATAATATGGCATGTCTACGGTACGTCCAAGAGAACGCCCTACCCATAGTGATATGGTATATATATATATTGAGGTGTAATATATTTCCCACTACAGGTGTATATGTATGTTTTGGTGTTAATCACAGGTACATCTAGTGATGGTGAAGTTGTATTCACTTATGGTTAAATGATTGCATAGGGCCATACGTGTCATTACCGTATACAGTCAAATAAATCCACATTCTCCACCCTTGTGTCATGTTGTTGGTGATCAGGGTGCCGTTGTACAAAGTGATCTTAGCGCGTAACTACCAGACCGCTTCCGTGGTCTAGTGGTAGAGCGTTCGCCCGGAGAGAGGAAGGTCCGGGGTTCGATCCCCGGCCGCGTCATACCAAAAGACGTTAAAAGATGGTACTTGTTGTAACCCTGCCTGGCGCTCGGCATTAAGGGGCTAAAACAAGGACTGTTCGGCTCGGAGTCAGTATACTGTGTCTGAGTGGGGTTTAAATGTTAAACTGCGGCATGGTATCTCAGTGAGCTAGCACTATAAATCGGCATCAGTCCGGACTAGTACAAGCAGCCACACACACACACACACACACACACACACACACACACACACACACACACACACACACACACACACACACACACACACACACACACACACGTGCATGCACGTCGCTATATAAGTGCAATAATCTTGGACGCGACCCAATTCCACCTCACCTCACCTCACCTCACCTCACCTCGTAACTACCATGCATTAACACAGACTTCCGACAGTCGTAGCACTAAGGTTGTTTTGTACAACGGCACCCCCATGAACATGTATTTTAGTCTGAATATAACTGTCGGTGCGTGAGTAACATGATCATCATGGTTAAAGCGTTCGCACCTTACGCCGAAAACCCTAGTTCGAGTCCCTTCATGGGTACAATGTGTGAAGCCCATTTCTGGAACAAAAAAAACGGGCTTGGAAAGAAGAGAAAATAGTTGAAAGGAACATGGCCGTCGTCTAAGGCGCCGCTATTCGCTGTGCAGAGTTGCGTCCCTTGGGCACGCCAGAATCCTGGGTTTGAATCCCGTATCGCCCCGATTGTTTCTAGATTTGTCAGCACCATACCCGTGCTCATGGGTTTCACCGAGGTGGTAAACGTCCGAGACCTGCATCACTTCGGGCTTTCCTCCAACATTAAGCTGACACGCCGCGATATAACTGGAATACTGTTAAAAGCGGAGTTAAACCCAACTCACTCACTCACTACAGAGGATCGGGCTTTATACTGTGTTGGGATTCCGGGTTAGTTTTGTTTGTCTGTTGGTTAACGCCGCACTCAGCAATATTCAAGCTATATGACGGCGTTCTGTAAATAATCGAGACTGGACCAGACAATCCACTGAGCATCGATCTACGCAATAGGGATCGATGACATGCATCAACCAAGTCAGCGAGCCTGACCACCCGATCCCATAAGTCGCCTCTTACGACAAGCATAGTCGCCTTTTAAGGTAAGCATGGGTTGCTGAAGACCTATTCTACCCCGGATCTTCACGGGTCGATTCCGGGTTAGAATTTCTCCCAAGCAACCCATGCTGGTCGTAAGAGGCGAGGATCTGGTGGTCAGGCTTGTTGATAGGTTAAGTGCGTGTCTACGCACCCATCTTGCCCAATACTTTTAACTTAAGCTTCAGGAAGATCGATGATTCGATACCCTTCCATAATTACCAAATAGCAATTTCCCTTCCACTGATTTACTCACCTGAACAAGAAACAAAAGAGACCAGTGAGATCGCCGCATCTGTTTCATATTTAGATTTAGGCCAATAAATTCAGAGTAACAAAAACTATCGACAGGACTGTGTTGACTAGAGGGATGACTTCAACTTTCCCCTTACGTGGAGCCATATCACAGCAGCTCTAGCCTTTGGCATCAACATTTCACAACTTTTGAGATACAACTGAACATGGTCTTTCTGCGAAGATTTCAAAGAGCTCCATATGAATCTTGCTCATTGGTTGTCTGATCAGGGTTAAAACATTTAAGGCCGAAGTAAAGCTTCCAGGATGGCAGACACGTGGAGGACATTTTATAATTTCACGCATCAGGGACAAAAATGATAATGATGAAATTCCCTATTTTGACTTGTACAATACTTTCATGTTTTTTCAGGTGAACAATTTACTTGCCTTTGCATGTGTTTGTGATGGGTGCCACCGTTGGGGCAGAATAGGCTCACCTTTTCGCAAACACCTTGGCCCACTTGCACAAAGCGATCTTAGCGCTAAGATGATCTTAACTCCCATACTTTAACATAGGCTTACAATAGTCGCAGCGCTAAGATCGCTTTGTGCAAGTGGACACTGGACTCATCACTTTAATGATAGTCGTAATCGTACGTTTATACCTTCATAGAGGCAAAAGATATGGTCAATTCTTAACAAAACCCACGTTGTTTGTCTGTTAACTCTAATGTTATGATACAGACTAGTCCATAAGACGTGATAAGACATAGAAGTCAGTACCAAAATTAAAACGTCAGTGTAGGAGTATCCTATTGTTCTCTGACACATAAGGGGGCACGGGTGGCCCAGTCGTCTAAGGCGCCGCGATTCGCTGTGCAGGGTTGCGTCCCTTGGGCACGCCAGAAACCTGTGATTGTTGGTTCGAATCCCGATTCGC